GTCGGTCACGTGGCTTAGCGTACAACGCGCCCGCGCGCGCGAGATGTGACTTCTGGACTACCCACATTAGAAAGGGCCGCCATGTTGTGGCCTGGAAACTCAAATGGCCCCTTAGCAGTGACCGATTGGATATCGAAGTTAGCAGGAGTTTGTAGCGTGTCGGTTACGTGGCTCGATTTACAAAGCGCCACCGCGCGCGCGCGCCCGCGACCGCGCGAGCGCGAGTCGTGAATCTTGGGTTGCCCACAAAAGAAGGGCCGCCGTGTTGGCCTGTGAACGAAGGTGGCCCTGAGAGGTGACCGACTGCATCTCCAAGTTAACATGTGGTTGGAGCATGTCGACCATGTGGCTGCGCGCGCAACGCGCCCACGCGCGCGCGGGCGCGAGCTGTGAAATCTGTTGTACCCACAATAGACGGGCCGCTATGTTTGCCTGGAAACTCAAGCGGCCCCTTCAGCGGTGGCCGAATGGATTTCCAAGTTAACATGGGGTTGTTGCACGTCGGCCAAGTGGCTCAGCGTACTACGCGCGCGCGCGGGCGCGAGCTGTGCATTCGGCGCGTGGCGGCCGCGGGCCTTTCTGCGTGGGAAGTAAACACAATATGCGAGCGCGGAAATGCAGCCACACGCACTGTGGCCATGGGCCACTACGTAGGTAGGCGAACATACGGTTGCAAGGGGCAATGCCGCCGCGCGTTAGGGCGGGACACCATATTATGCGCGAGGGGAAAGCGCCGAGGCCATGTGCGGCCCGTGTTCAGCGCAGCCCGGTCGCCCCCGGCCTGGGGCCTGGCCCGGCAAGCAGCCCTGCCCACCCTGACCGGTGCCCAGCGGGCTGGCCCCTCGCCCACCCAATAGCTCGGCTGCAGGTGACCGGCCGGTATATAGCCCGGCCAGTAAGTCCGCGAGCGCGGCGGGCAACCCTGCCGGTAACTCCACGAACCCGGCCGGTAACCCCGCCGGTAATTCTACGAACCCGGCCGGTGACCCGGCCCGGCCGGTAACGCGGCTGGTAGCCCGGCTGTTAACTGCGCGCCCGGCCGGTAACCCGGCTGTTAGCCCCAGCCCGGCTGGTAACCCGGCTGGTAACCCGGCTGGTAACCCGGCTGTTAATTCCCAGCCCGGCCGGTAGCCCGGCTGGTAGCCCGGCCCTTAGCTTGGCCTTGCAGCACATTCTGTAGCGGAGCTACAGCGCCGCTACAGAACGCCGCAGACGGCCGGCCCTTTGCCTGGCCGGCAGCCTGGCTGTAACTCCGCGCACCCGGCCGGTAGCCCGGCTGTTAATTCCTGCGCGCCCGGCTGGTATTTCCGCGCACCCGGCCGGTAATTCGGCGATTTTGGTTGGTAACCTGGCTGGGAGTTCAGCGAACCGGGCCGGTAATTGCGCGAGATCGGGCAGTGGCCCGGATGGAAATTTTGCGCGCGCGGCGGGCCCCGCAGCCGGGAATGTCGCGGGTTAACCGCAGGAGGCCCCCCCCCCCCGCCCTCCGGATTTCCTTGGGACGAAAACAAGGCCCCGATGCCCCTGGCCCGCCCCCCGTGGATTCTTTTCCCGTGATGAGCCGTTTGGGCGAAATCCTCTTCGCGTTTGCACCTATGGCCCACTATTGGTCGTCCGCTGGTCACAGCAAGCCGCGGCAGCCGGCGCAGGAAAGCCATGGCGCGCTGATGGCCATGCACTTAACAATTCGTGGAAAACCATTGGGCGCCGCGCATGTGTCTGGCCAGAGAACTACATTTCAAATGTGGTTTTCCCTTAGGGTTTTCGCGTTCACGCCGACGACAAACGCGCGGGAACCAAAGTGCGCAGCGCGCGCGATTTTGCGCTGCGCACTATGGTTTCCACTTGTATGGTCATCTGTTGGGACGAGCATTAAATTGCGCATCGTTTGGTTTTCGCGTTCACATCGTTCACAAATTTATGGGGCGAAACCGTTGTGCGCACCGAAACGTCGCGCGCGCGACCTTGCGCTGCGCGCTGGCTTTCCCGCGCAATTATCAACTGCATGGCCATCTGTTGGGGCCAGAGAAATATTGTTTACATGATGCATTCCCGATTTGGACTTCGAGTTCGCATGCGTGGGAAGCCATAGTGCGCAGCGCAAGGTCGCGCGCGCGCGTCTTTGCGCTGCGCACTGTGGTTTTCCACGCATTTGCTAATCGTGTGGCCATCTCCTGGATTCAGAGAACTAAATTTTGCTTAGGGTTTCCCCTATTGATTTTCAGGCTGACATCGTTGACACATGCGTAGAAAACCACAGTGCGCAGCGCAAGGGCGCGCGCGCGCGACCTTGAGCTGCGCAATATAATTCCCCGCTCATTGTCCAACGCGCGCGCGCGACTTTGCGGCGCGCGCTGCGGTTTCCAACGCATTTGCCCATTGTACGGCGAGTCCTTGGGGCCAGAGAATTCAGTTTCACATTTGGTTTCCCCGCGCGCGCGCGTGGTGAGTTTTGGATTGCCCCCCATAAGCAGATCGTTTTGTAAAGCCAAAGACTGAATTTATTTTTGCCTGTGAAGTAGTAAGGGGGCCGACGGAGGCGCGCAGTTCTGCATAGCATTGTGGGCAATGCAGAACTCCCTACGCGCGCGCGTGGTGAGTTCTGTAGTGTCCACATACAGAACTACGCGCTCCCCTCGGCCTCCTTACAGCTTCACAGAAAAGTCCAATTCAATTTTTGGATTTACAGGGCGATCTTCTTATTGTGGACAATGCAGAACTCACCACGCGCGCGCGCCGCGGCGCGGGCGCGTGTAGGAAGTTCTGGATTGCCCACAATAAGAAGATCGCCTTGTAAATCCAAAAACTGAATTGAACTTTTCTGTGAAGCTTTCTGGAGGCCGACGGAGGCGCGCACAGTGAGCGCCTTGAGTAAGGAACACTTACTTTTCAAAAGGGGCTCGGACGTTCCTTAGGTTTGCATGCGTTCCGCTGCCTTTTTGGCGGCGAGCCCCCCCGGTGTTCCTTGCGATTTTGGACGCGCGGGTTCGTTTTGTCGATCGGGGCGGACGGTCTAAGGAACGGGGCTCCACGGGGGGGCTCGGTTCCTTGCGCTTGCTCGACGTAATGCGACGGCGGTCGCGTATAAGCCCTGCGCCTCTCCGGGGCCTTCCCGTTCTTTGCGGGGCGCGCGCTGGAGCTTTCGCCCGTTCCGCGCGCCAGGGCGCGGGGCATTGAGGTCCAGTTCCTCGCAAGGGCCCCCCCCGTTCCTTCGGCCGCGCGGTTCGGAGCTCACTGGCTCGACATAATTGAACGGTGGCTGCGTTATGGTCCAGCTCCGTTCTCAGGCCCCCCCGTTCCTTGCGGGGCGCGCGCTGGAGCTGTCGCCCCTGCGTGTATCCGCATGCCAAGGTATGGGGCATTGAGGCCCAGTTCCTCGCAAGAGCCCCCCCCGTTCCTTCGGCCACGCGGTTCGGAGCTCACTGGCTCGACATAATTGAACGGTGGCTGCGCTATGGTCCAGCTCCAATCTCGGGCCCCCCCGTCGTCGCCCCTGCATGTATCCGCATGCCGAGGTGGGGGCATTAGTTCCTTATGTCACACCTTAGGTCAAGACCTTCACTGTACGCCTGCATACTCACTTTGTGCTTTGCATCCGTGGGTTTTCATATTTCTGAAACACGTGGCCGCCCAAGGCCTTTGCACTTGGTCACCCCTGGGGGCGCGAAGATTATTGCGCCTCGCGCGTCGCGGCCCGGGCAGGAGAGCCGCCCTTGTCCAGGGCGGCGACGCGGGGCGCGATGATCCTCGCCTATCTACAAGTTTGTACACGTAAGGCTCCGCGTGCGCCGGTTGGTTGGTTAAGTCCAGTGTGTTGGTTGGCTGGTGCGCCGGCTGGTAGGCAGGTTGGCTGGTTGAAGAGCCGTTTAAGGAGGCCGACGGAGGCCGGGTCACCCGCGCGCGCGCGCGTGGGGAGTTCTGCATTGTCTACAATATAAAAATCGACATGTTATTCCCGAAACTAAATCTGATTTTTTCTTGAGCCCTTTAGGGGGGCCGACGGAGGCCGGGTCGCCGGTTTTCGCGCGCGCTGGAGAATTCTGCATTGTCTAGAATATAGAAGTCGATATGTTATTCCCGAAACTAAATTTGAATTTTTCTGGAGCCTTTTCAGGAGGCCGACGGAGGCTGGGTCACCGGCGCTCGTGCGCGCGGGATAGATCTGCATTGTCCACAATATACAAGTTGACATGTAAGTGCCGCGTTTGAACATGTTTTTTTGTTTTGTTCTGTTCTGGAGCCCTTTGAGGAGGCCGACGGAGGCCGGGTCACCCGCGCGCGCGTGGGGAGTTCTGCATTGTCTACAATATAAAAGTCGACATGCTATTCCCGAAACTAAATTTGATTTTTTCTGGAGCCCTTAAAGGAGGCCGACGGAGGCCGGGTTACCTGCGTTCGCGCGCGCTGGAGAGTTCTCCATTGTCCAGAATATAAAAACCAACATGTTATTCCCAAAACTAAATCTGGATTTTTCTGGAGCCCTTTAAGGAGGCCGACGGAGGCCGGGTCACCGGCGCTCGCGCTCGCGGGATAATTCTGCATTTTCCAGAATATAGAGGTCGACATATAAGTGCCGCAACTGAAAATTAATGTTTCTGGAGCCTTTTGAGGAGGGTGACGGAGGCCGG